GGGAATGAAGGGGAGGAGAAGAAAGTTCTTTAACCAATCAAATTATAATATTTTTCAAATATTACAATTTGATTGATTAAAAAATTATCCCTTCCCCTCCCCTCCCCTCCATTCTCTTTAACCCAAACATACTATAAGTGATTTTAAAAGTGCACACTTCATGAGCTCCCATGCATTGCTCCTAGGGTTGAGGTTAGTGACAACGAGTTTCCTCCCTAGGGTTTCTCTTCGGTAAAGGAGTTCCTTCATCCCTACTTTCTTCTTACCCCTACTTTCATCCTCTTGATCTCTCCCTTCATCTTAGTCAACTGGCTTGCTTTGGAAACTCCAACCCAAGGGACCACAAGGCAACAACATATTCAAGTTTTACAATGTTTTGGCATCCTAAGAGGTCAGCTAGTTTTACATCTATCATTGATTTCACAAGGCTATGACTGGATCAACGAGGGAATTGCTCTTCCTAGTGGATAGGGTTTCTCCTATTCAATGGGCAAGAATCTCACTTCGGCACATCTCCTTAGATGGGATCTTGGCAGGGGTCAAACTCAGAGAAATTGGTTCACACCAATTTTCAATTCGTAGTCGAATACAGAAGGAAAGGGATGCTATCGGTGAAGTTGATTGTGTTCTGTAAGAGAATAATGATATTCAAGCCGACAAAGGGGCTTTAGTTTCCTTAATGAGTTTTGACAACAAGGGCTTCAAGAGGATTGGAAAATATGGGACCATTATTGGGAGCACATGGAGATCAGTGTTGCCAGTGTTGCCAATAGCGACCATAGCGGCCGCTATGAAAAATCCCCATAGTATAGTTGGTGAACAATACCGGCCGCTATGACCACTAATAGTGGTAGTTATGACAGCTAATAGCGGCTGCTATACAAATAGTGGGTAGCAGGTATAGCAGCCGCTATTTAAATTTCTTGACTTTTTTTTGTCAAATTACCATATTAACCCCACATCAAGAGTTTAAGTTAAAAGCTTTCAAGGTTAATTTTATCTTTCTAACTTTTCTATTTATAAATTAAAGAAAGAAAACCCTAAAACAATTCATCGCATCTGGTCTCCACACATCCCGTGCACTTTCCTCGACTCTCCTCTACCGGTCTACCCTCATGAGTCTCGGTGCTAATATTCTCTCCCACTTTGTGCACCATCTAGTCTCCTCTTTGTCCCCATTGGCCATGGCAAGAGTTGAAGAGTGCAAGACAATTCTCAGTCTCGCAGCTCACCCCTTCACACTCTTGTAATTGGAGTTACTGGACAGTGATTAAGCATTGATCTATACATCATATCATCTCCAATTTTAGTAATCTTTCAAGTAAGCACTGATCTTGCAAGTGTCGTCTTTCTCCTCTCTTTTTTTTCTTTTTTTCTTTTTTGACACCAAAACAAAAAGTTGGAATTAGAAATAGAAAGTTAGACACAAAAGCATGTGACAATTATTTTTTTCTTTACTTGATTCTGCTTCTACAATTGTGCCTCTGTTTCCTTTTTTTTTTTTTTTGTATTGAAGCAACTAGCAAGTTTATATTACAATTATACTAGGGGCAAGAAAAATTAAAACTTATACTAGGGGACAAGCAAAAAGAAATGCAATTGCAGCCTTGACCTCTCAAATTCTAGCACTAACCTTTAGAACTCTAGCCACAACCTCTAGTGTTGATGTAGTTTATGCTACTAGAATTAGTGTAGAGGCTCATCCTTTAGATCTTGAAAAGTCAAAGGAGTAAGAAGGGGAGTTTGAGCTTGGTGGAACAAGTCAAAAAGACAAGGATGATGATGATTTGGTGGCTAAGCAAGAAGAATTAGAAGCATGAGAGAGTGATGAGGATTATTAGACTCTTGAATAATTTTTTGTTTTAAAGTTCTAGTATCTGACTTTTTTTTGAATTGATCTTGTTCGACTTCTGTATTCTTTAAGTATTTTATTGTCTTGTTTGATCATTCTAAACTATGTTTTTTTGTTTGTTGAGACTTGAGAATATTGTTTTTTTTTTTTTATCATTTTTTATAATTTTTATAAACTCTTAAGTCATTTTATACCTTTTATTATTAGATTTATCTCTTATTTTAATTATTAGATTTTTATTTTTATTTTTATTTTTATTTATTAAATGCCCGCTATTTGTCTATAGTGGTCACTACGCTACCCGCTATTTGTTTATAGCGGCCGCTACGCTACCCGCTACACTACCCGCTACGCTATCATAGCGGATTTTGGCCTTTCCGCTATTTGCCGCTATCCACTATTGATAACACTAATGGAGATGAGTGGGATGCCTTATGCTTGTATGGAGGAGGACCATGCCCCTCATGTTGGTTATTCTTTAAGAATAGATAGGGCAGTAACTTGTGAGTTAGAGACTGTTTGTTGTCAGAATCTCTTGCTCTCCCCATGAAGTTGGTCAAATAGGTGAGAATGTCTAGTAGCTTCTAATACTCATAGTAACTCTCCTTTCCATATTAGTAGCCCTATTTAACTCATACAGCGATTGTAATTGCAATCTCTAATTGTAGATAACTCTCTTTGCTTAATTGTCTATATCTGTCATGGCATACTTTAAATATGTTACTAGTGTTGTAGGTTATGCTTTTAATTTTTTTTTTAGGCTATACTGCTTTAGACTATAATGCCATAAAATGGAGATTCTACTGTAATTTCTTTATTATTTAATATATATCTCTATTTCTTATTTTTTTTAAAAAGTGCACACTTCACATTAAGTTGTCTATAGCAGTAGGTTTATATATCTTTTACCAACAAAAAAAATACAAAATTAATTAAAATTAAAAATTAGTGTTTATCAACCAAACTTTTAAAAAATAAAAAGATAAAATACCATAATATTACATGGTATTAATGAAGCGTAATGGGAAAAGAACTAAAAGAATCTCATTTTTTTTTTTTGAACATATTGGCAAGGGGCGGTTCGAAATCACCCAGGGGAGGGGGGAAATGCATAACTGACTGGCTGATGCCAGTGGGCCTCAAGGGCCGGGTGGACTAAAAGAATCTCATTTGTACTTTAAAAATAAGTTATTTTAATATTTTTCAATAAGTGTTTATTAAAACAAAGTGAGTTTTGGAGTGTCTTTCTTCTTAATATTTTAGAGGTGTGAGTGATACACATTTCTCTTAAAATTAATAAAAGTAGATTTAAATATAAGTAAAGATTCATTTATAGAAAAATCTTACATATTACACTTACACAAAATCTTGACTATTCATCTCTCCACTTTTAATTATTAAGATTTATAATAACTTTTTAAATAAAAAATATAATTGTTTTTAATGAATGTAATAAAAAGTGAATAACTCTCAACCATTGAGAGTAAAAAAATGAATAAAAAAGATTTTATATAAATATTGTATATAAAATTTATGTGTAAATAAATCATAACTCTATAAATATTAATTAAAAATTAATTGAGAATAATAAATTTAATTATGGGTAAAAAGGATATGTGTAAAGTATTCTCCAATAAAACCAAAATTTTGCCTGGGTATTGATCCCTCAGTCCGTAGCATCTAAAAATTTACATTAAAACAGATTGGATCTACCAAACTACAATAACCACACAACTCTCCAAGACAAAATCTAATCCACAACAATAATAGATAAAAGAGACCAACTCAAGAGGAATAAATCTCCCAAACAACCAGAAAAAATAAAAATGAGAAAACAATAGATGAAAAAGGGAAGGGTGAGGGGGAGACGCAGCCTCTCTAGATAAAGCGAGGGTAAAGTTGGAGAGGCAAAATTAAAATGAAAACCTAAATTAAAAAGAAATAATTTTACAAAAGTTTAAGGTTGTTTCTTTTATTCCACTAAAGAGGTTTTAAAAAAAAACAAAAAACAAAAAAAAAACAAAAAAACAAAAGTATAAAGATAAAGTTGAAAAGATATAAATAAAAATGTAATTTAATAAAACAAAAAATAAAATATTAGTCCTTCAAAAATCTCCCTGGTTGCCATTCCAATTTCCCCCTCGAAACAAGATTATTTTCTTTTCCGTGACTTCATAGTATTTTTTTGATTTGGTCACATTCAACCTCTTCCTTTGCAAAGAATCACTCTTTTGAGAGAAAAAAACTTTTAATAAAATCCTATCTTTCCCTAGAAAATAAACACATTGCATTATTTTAAAATTTAATATCTTCCAATAT